CCTTTAGATTACATTTTTTTCTTTCAGATCTTCCTTGGTTACTTAGTAAATATGATCATATGCATATAACATAGATTCCTATCCTACTTACCATTCTTTTTTTTTTCCTTTGTTTTGAGTGTATGTTGTTAAGTGCCATTGAGCCAGTTCCAGCTCAGTGACCATGTATAGTGTTTCCAAGACTGTAAATCTTTGCAGGATCAGAAAGCCTCATTTTTCTCGTGAAGAGTGGCTGATGGGCTCAAACCACTGACCTTGTGGTTTCAAGTTCAGTGCTATATATACAAACATTTGTCATAACAGCATTTTAAAATGTACAATTCCGTGACATGTTTATCATCATCACTATTCATTTTCAAACTTTTGTATTAAATTTTATGATAGCAGTGTTGTTGTTAGTGCTGTCCAGTAGGTTCCAACTCATAGTGACCCTGTGTCGGGTTTCTGAGACTAAAACTTTGCAGGAACAGAAAGCCTCATTCTTCTCATGCAAAGCAGCTCGAATCACAGACCTTCTGGTTCACAATCCAGTGATTATCCTGCAGAGCAACATAATAAGGAAAAAAACCTATGTAAGTTTAATTCCAATTTCTTAAGTAAAGAAAAAACTGTAGAGAAAAAAAGATGTTACTGAAATACATCAAAAAGTTAACAGTGACTATCTCTGAAAGAGATATTTGCAAATAATTTAACTTTCTTCTTTCTTGTTTTCATTACTGAAAAAAATTTCTACTATGAGCTGTGTTAATTTTATTTGAAAAATGTTTAACTTTTGAACAGGATAAATCTGCTGTCATTGAGTCACTTCTGACTCATAGCAACCATTTTGTTGTTAAGTGCTATCAAGTGAATCACTTGAGTCATAGGGACCCTGTGTAGGGTTTTCCAGGAGTAACTAACTAGTGGGTTTGAACTGCCAACCTTGTGGTTCAAAGTCCAGTTCTGGTTCTACAGTATCACAGCCTGCTGTTGGTTGTTGTTAAGTGCCACTGAGTCGATTCTGACCCATAACAACCCTGTATAGGATTTCCAAGGAGCAGCTAGTGATCTTGAACCACCAACCTTGCAGTTCAAACGACTTTGCAGTCTGATGCATTACCCTACAGTGCCACACCAAGAGTCCCACAACCCACTAGGACAAAGTAAAACTGCCTCATATGGTTTCCAAAACCATAAATCTCTTTTTTTTTTTTTTTTTTTTTAACTTTTTATTGTGAATTTGGTGAAGGCTATAAATCTTTACAGAAGCAAACTGCCTCATCTCTCTCCTACAGAGTCACTGGTAGGTTTCAACTGCTGACCTTTTGGTTAGCCACATGCTTATTTACTATGTCCCTGAGGCTCCTTAGATAGGGTGTTGTTGTTGTTAAGTACCATAGAGTGGATTCCGACCCATAGCGACCCTGTATAGGGTTTCCAAGGAGCAGCGGGTAAGCTTGAACCAATAACCATGTAGTTCAAACGATTTTGCAGTCTGCTGCATTAGCCCACACTGCCACACCAGGACTCATGTATTTTAGAATGAAAAGTTTTTTTAAAAGTATGCAGTAACCTGTCCCCTTGATCCCATATAATCAACAATGTTGTCTATTCCATGTGTATATTTCCAGAGATAGTCTGTAAATACATATTACTTTTATAACCTGAAAAAACCTACTTAAAAAAATAAACTATGCCAATCTGATCAAGGCTAAAGTGAGATTTAAAGCAGGTGTTACTCCAACCCTACTGTTAAAGTTTACTTTATCAGTTTTAATTGAAATAATATGAAAGTGTATGTGATGCAAAGGGCTTTGCATAGTATGCAAATGTTAATTATAATGATAATCTTACATGTTCACATTCCTTTCATGAAAGGTACTTACAGAAGTACTGGAAAAGCCATTATCTGTGTTCTTTTGGAAGGAAAGGTATTAATTTGTTTCCTCAATAAGTGATTTTTAAGGCATTTACTTATATGTAAGCACTTATAGGAGTCCTGGTGTGGCACTGTGGGTTAATGCTGACCAGACTGCAAAACCATTTGAACAGCTCCTCGGAAACCCTATACAGGATCACTATAGGTCGGAACCGACTCGATGGCACTTAACAACAACAACATAGGAGTCCTGGTATGGCACTCTGGGTTAATGTGCTGGACTGCAAAGTCCAGTTTGATCCTCAAGGTCAGCATTTCAAGCTCACCAGCCATTCCTCGGAAACCCTATACAGACAGGGTTTGGGTCGGAATCGACTCGACAGCATTTAACAACAACATTGGGGGGAGGAAGTATTGCCATAATAGAATACAATACACAATGTAAAAGCTGTATTCCCACAAAGGAGCTCTGGTAGCATAGTGGTTATGAATCGGGCTGCGAACC